CTAAAAATATACACTGGGGAAAGAACAGGATGCTTAAGTGAACAGTGTCGGAATAGCTGGATATTCATGCGCAGAAAACGGACAGTGGTGCTCCTTACCCACCACTCATCTCTCACCCTATAGAAAAATCAACTCAGGAATCTAAGTGTAAGACCTGAAAGAACTAGAAGAAAATGTATGGGGATGATTCTCTGGCATAGGCAAAAACTTTGACAACAACCTTATAATACACAGACAATAAAAGCAAAAATAGTAAAATGAGATTATCTTCAACCAAAAAGCTTCTACATAAACAACCAAAAATGAGAAGATGATCCACATCATAGAAAACACAATTGCAAATTGTGCTTCTGACAAAGTATCAAAATTCAGAATATGTAAAGAAGTATTTTTAAAAACCCTAAAACATTATTAAGAAAGTGCAAATGACCTGAGTTGAAATTTATCAGAAGAGAATACAAATAGCTACAAACAAATGAAAAAATGCTCAACATCATTAGCTTCCAGGGAAACACACACTCAAACCAGAATGAGAGATCATCTCACTGAAATGGCTATTGCACAAAAGCAAAAAATAATAAATGCTGGTGAAAATATGCGGGAAAAGCAATTGTTATACACATTATTAGAGGAAATGGAAATAAAAAAACTATTTTAGAGAAATGATGAGGAAGGAGCAGCAGGGTAGTATGACAAGCTAATCCACTACCCTGTGGCACCCACATCCCATATACACGCCGGTTTATTTCATGTCACATGTTCCAGGTATCTCACTTCTGAATCTATTTCCAAAAGAAATAAAATCAGCATATGAAAGATATATCTGTACACCCATTATTACAATTGCTAAAATAAAGACTCAATTCATATAACCATGAATGGATGAATGAGTTAAGTAGATGAATATATATACAATGGAATATTATTACTCTACAAAAAGGATGAAATCCAGTCATTTGCACCAAAATGGATGGAACTGGAAGATACTGTGCTAAGAGGAAGAAGCCAGACACAAAAGGCAAATGTCAAATTGTCTATCATGTGCATGGACGTAAAAAAAGGTCCACCTGAAAATATAACACTCAGCGACTGGGAGTGGATTGCAGAGTACAGAAAAGCTGGAAAACAGATAAATAGTTACAGTTAGAAAAAACATGTATGAATGCTCTACAGGGCAGTGGGGTGACACAGTTCACAATAACCAACGGTGTATTTTATAAAGATCCTGAAAAGAGGTGTTAAATGTTCCAAAGGTAAAGAAATGATCAGGAAGGACCAACATGGTAGTGTAGTGTGCTAATCCTCTATCATGTGGCACCAGCATTGCGCTCCAGCTGCTCCATTTCTGACCCAGCTCTCTGCTGAATAGCCCGGGAACGCACTGAGGATGACTCCAGTCCTTCGTATCCTGCACCCACACAGGAGTCCTGGAAGAAGTCCCTAGCTCCAAGATTCAGCTCGGCTCAGACCATCACAGCCAATTGGGGAGTGATGCAGCAGATGCAAGACCTTCTCTCTCTATCTGTTCTCTCTCTGTAAAAGCTGTCTTCCAAGTAGAAATAAATAAATCTTTAAAAGAAAAAAAGAGGGAGAAAGATAGGGAAACAGAAATGCTGATCATTTTGATCTGATCAGCATACACTGCCTACATGGGCTGAAATATCACACTAAACACCATAAAAATGTGTACGCATAAGCTAACTAAAAATAAAAATTTAAAGAAAAAATAAAAATAAATAAGATACCCTTTGTTAGTACAAAATAATTTAACTGATTAAACTCATCTTTTAATTTGTATGGTCTTTCTAGTTATTTGGCTATTTCAGAAATAACACATGTTTAGAAGGGAAGATACTTTTCTGGTGATGAAAAAGTGGTGTTCTCTTTTTATCTCACTCTTTTGTTTTACAACCAGACATTCTGCTAAGCTAAGTCATTTTGCATCTACTAAAATCCGTGTGTCTTTTTCATTTATTTGTTTTTACCATGAGGTCTCTAATGAATTAATGTTTATAAGGAGACTTTATTAAAATCCTTATTTCTTTCTTTTCCAGAATACATCAGAAATTTGCTACTTGATTTTTTTAAATTCTCAGTAATTGTTGAGCTTTATCTCCTGTGTCCTTGACATTTATTTTTTCATTGTGGGAAGAAAAGAGGAAGGAGTAGCATATATAATCAGTTTAGTTCTTACATAGGCCTGAGTTTGATTTTGAAATATCGTATCTCGTAGGTATTAAGTATACAAATACTCAAATATATACAGAATTTCACACTGCAAGAAATCATGACTTCTTGCAGAAAAGTATCCTTTAGGGATGCATCATAAAATGTAAAGGATGGCCTGGAAGTTCACAGCAGTACCAAATTGGAAAGCTGCCTGCAGATCTACAACAGAAAGCAGAGCTAAGTGGCACAGTTATCTTACAAAGAAGCACACTGTTCTATAATGAGAATGAATACTCTATTGTATTACTAAATAATATGGGTGAATTTTATGAATACAATATCAAGCCAAGGAAGCCAGAAACAATATAGAATGGGTTATATTATTCTATTAACATTAAATTGAGAAACAAAAAAAATTAATCTGAAGGTTCAGGTGTGAGGAGAGTTCTAATCTTTTGTAGGGCAAGACTCACCCAGGAAGACACCTGCCATGATCTATAAGGAGACCTGAATGGTGACTGCACCGCTAGAGTCACTTCATGAAAGATGCGAGGCTATATACTTGAGGTTTAAGCCTTTTCCTATGCTATGCTTCAGCAAAAGAATTCTTAAAACAAAACATGACTCACAGTTAGTGACATAGAAAATAGCACATGAAACACATGTTTCCAAGTCTTCTGAAGGCCTTTAAAATCAATATACCCTTTAATATTTTTCTAAAGATTAAACTTACTTTAAAAAAAATCTACATATGCTGCAAATGCTAAAATCAGCTCCATACTCTTGTTGAGATGCCAAAATAAATTAACTCAGTTTTACACTTTATAATTTAGTTTACTACCGTTTTTTGTTACTTATAACCCCTATAGAGCACTAGGCATACACAAATAAAATGACACAAAATATTAGTCATTTTCTATTATAGATGTGATAATAATGTCAAATTCTATGGCTCTGTCTTTCCAATGCAGCAGTCTAAACAGATATAACATGTACCTCCCAGTGAAGTAGCTTGCATTCTTTTTAAATTTTTTAAAAAATTTTTATTGGAAATTCAGATATACAGAGAGGAGGAAAGACAGAGAGGAAGTCCCTCCAAGCACCAACCCACTCCCCAAATGGCTGCAATGATTGGAGCTACGCTGACCCGAAGCCAAAGCCTGATACTACCACCAGGTTTCCCATGCAGGCACACGGTCCCCCAAGGTCATGGGCAATCCCTGACCGCCCTCCAAGGCCACAGTAGGGAGTTAGATGGGAAGCAAGACCACCAGGATTATCATCATCATCATCCATATGGGATCCACATGCGTATAAGGCAAGGACCCTAACCATGCTGGGTCCAGTAGCTTGCATTCCTCACTATGAAAGTATACAATCTTAGAAGATCCAAAAGAGTGAACAGGATAAAGTCAGAGAGATTTCTGCACAGATTCATCTACAAATGCCTATGCCAAATACATCTATATCAAGAGCTATAATCATAGAGCTGTTCAGCAATCTTTTCTTGAAATAAGAATGTAAGTAACCTCAGTCTTCATTATGTTTCACAGCCAAGGAAGTACAGGTTCTCTAAAGAAAGTTTTTAACTAAAGACCTCAGTAAGATGAGAGAAGCTTGGTTTTATTAAAGAGAAATATTATGGGACCTGCTCTGTTCAACTTCTTTTAGTGCTGTTTAAAATGGGAACTTATCAGTAAAGTCTTCCGCAGCTTGAGACCTTGTTATTTCTGAGATCAGCAAGGCAAACACTCTCAAATGAGGAACATGATTTGGACTCTGGGAACCCTGAGGCTTCAGGGCATTTTCTGTAATAGGTTCATGAAACAAATATATTGGACTCAAAGTCTCTGGTTTCTCACAAATGAATATAATTATAAAATTGAAAACAACAAATTAAATGTGTTCATACATAATTTCCATATTGGAATCATATTACAACCTGCCTACTGTCTGTGCTAACAGATCAAATAATATTCTCTCAAACCTGATTTTCTCAGCATTCTCAACAAAACTCAGTACTGTTTATTTTTGATAACACAAAGAAAACTGATAATTCTACCTTAGTATTATCAAAATTTACTTTAAAATGTAGGGAAATAATGTTTTGTGCCAAATACATATTCTAAGAAGCTTCAGAAATACAAACACACACACACATAAACACACACTCTACATCGTATTTCCTGTTTCCACAAAATTGATTTCCAAATCATATAAAAAGAGTTTACATAGAGGAATAGAGGAGTCATGATACAATAATTGTTTTAGAACCAGTCCTGGGCCCAGCACGGTGGCGCAGTGGTTAAGGTCCTCACCTTGAACGCCCGGGATCCCATATGGGCGCCGGTTCTAATCCCGGCAGCCCCACTTCCCATCCAGCTCCCTGCCTGTGGCCCGGGAAAGCAGTCAAGGACGGCCCAAAGCTTTGGGACCTGCTTTGGCTCCTGGCTTCGGACTGGCATAGCATGGGCCGTTGTGCTCATTTGGGGAGTGAATCATTGGACGGAAGATCTTCCTCTCTGTCTCTCCTCTCTGTATATACGCCTTTCCAATAAAAATAAAAAATAAAATCTTACTAAAAAAAAAAAAAAAAAGAACCAGTCCTTGGAGAAAATAATAAAAGAACCTATACCTATCGACCACCTTGACAAATGGCCAAAAGGCCATTTTAAAATTTTCCTTGTATACACAAGTTGCTTGCTTAAACTCTGCTTGTGACTGTATATTTATATTCTAAGCCCCTCTGCCTTTCCATTGTAACTGCTCACAGGCGCACTGAGATTATCTATGAGGTAAATGACAACTCCCTTCAAAGCTTGGCCACGTACCAAAAGCAGCGACTTTGATGATTACTGCTTGAATGTTAGATGCTATCATCTCTCGGAGCAATTCTTCCTGGTTTCTCTGCCAAAGGTAAGCCAGAGGCTGGAGATCAAGCCTTTCACACCTGCACAAGAAAAAGGAACAAAAAATAAAATCATATCTTAGCATCCCATACTTGGATACACAGTAATTACTTTGATTTTAAACATAATGCTTCTTTCAAAGATTTTAGCATTTCAAATGCTTTAAAAAAACACATTTTGCATAATGAGGTTTATATATATAACATAAACATATTTAATTTCCTTGTGCCCTGCATAAACAGATAAAAATGATATATTCAGGCAGACAAGAAATATTAATTTTAGTAAGGCTCTAAGTTTAGATCTATGCAAAAGAGTTTAAAGAGTTTATAAATGCCATTGGATGATAACTCCGGCTTTTAAATCACCCATGGATTTAAAAATTGTGAAGATATGTAAAAAAACAACAACAGAAACAATCCTAATAAAATAACCAAATATTGATCAAATGTATAAGTTTTTATTATACTTATTTATTGTTTTGTTGTCTTTAAAGAATTTGATTTTGAGAGGAAAGAAAATAATCAAAACAAAATGCACAATTCACTGAGTATCTAATATGTACACTGTATTGGTACGCTAGGAAAAGATATGCACTTTGAAGTCCAGATGAATCTGGGTTTGAAACCTCATTGTGATTTCCGGCTGCATGAGTTTGGCAAGCCAAGTAAGCTCTAACTCCCAGCATTTACTGTTTATGTCATAAACAGAGGCAAAAAATTCACTGTCAAAGTAACATCAAAAGATGGCAAAGCTAAATCATACTTTACCCTCCTCACATACCACGTCCAATCTACGACTACGCATATCATGGCTATTTTTTAAAACTAATATCACTGCTAACTTTCTAGTATGAGCCTTAATAATCTATCACCTCAATATCCTTACCCTTTTAAAAATCTGTTTTCATTCAACAGCAGTGTGATGCTTTTAAAACATGAAAAAGATTATGTCATTTCTCTTCTCTCTCTTTTTTTTTAAGAGTTATTTGCTTTTATTGGAAAGGTGGATATACAGAGAGAAGGAAAGACAGGAAGATCTTACATCCGATTGCCTGGCTCTTAATGAGTTCTTACAATGAGTTCTCTTTCAGAATCCAAATTCTTATTAAATGAATCACATGATTGGTCATTTATTCACATATGGCATTAGCATAGCACAGTATTTTCTTCATGTACACTACATTGACTTTAGTAATAAACCAAAACTTTCCTCACTGAAGAAATTATTTGCAAATCACTTTTTTGCAACATCAAAAGTATTTAAAGAAGAGATCCTTCTTAGTCGCCATATGGGATTCAGGGGCCCAGACAGACACACTTGGGCCAACTTCCACTGCTTTTCCCACAACATTAGCAGAGTGCTGAAGTGGAAGTGGAGCAGCCCAGACATGAATCAGCACCTGTGTGGGAACCCACAATTGCAGTCAAGGCTCGACCCGCTATGCCACAACACTGCTCCTGGGAAGAATGCTTCTAGTCTATAGACTAAGGATATGCAACCCATCAGTACATTAGTTGCTCACAAACGTCAGGAGGCACAAAGTAAGAAAAAAAACTTTTTCAAACTTTGCATGCTTGACCTCTTTCAACTTACTCTATTTCTATCCTCCACTGTCCAGAGATTCTGATATATTACTAAAAATGTGAAGTCAACACATGACTATGCTTTAACTCAGCCTTCTCTTAGTTTGCTTAAGAAAGTCTCTCTTAAAATTGTCTTAAGCCCACAGTGGAATTACAAAGAAAGTAAACAAAATAAACATAAAGCTTTAGTTCTCAAGCTCATTACCTGTAGCTTTTTAAGGAGGTAGTCAATATATTTCTTTGTCAAGAACAAAAACTGATTCATAAATAATGTCATTCTCTTACTTCTATTAACTCAACTGAATGGCCAAGTCATTTATCTACATACCAAGGTGTAATCCAAATAAACTGAGGCATCCATAATTATCCATACATAATTATGCAAAATGTATAAAATATCTCATCAAAAGTAAAATTGAAAAATAAATTCATTCAGGTGATATTTTGCATTGCCAACCTTAAATAATCATCATTTCATGTTATAATTTTTGAGTAGATCAATGGAGTTGAATATTTTTGTGTTTACGCATAAAGATTTAATGTTAAATCAGTGCTACATCTTTTAGGGAGAGGAATGGTAGAGGACACAAATGATTTAAAAAGCCTTTGTACACATGTAAGTATTCAAAATACATGAATATTTTGATTCAAGAATTGAGTTCTATGGACTCAGGAGATTTTCCTTAACATGAGTTTTTTTCCCTAAACATATTACAGAATTCCTTCTATTAGCGACTGATTTTTATATTAATGAAATAAATCAAAAGAGATTAAAGGAATATAGTAAATCAAATATGGAAGAGTTGAAAATAATGCTTCTCAGTTTCTGAAATTTCAGTATAGATTATTTTTCTTGATAGGAAGTTAGGAGTTTTCTTATGTGCAATGTTCAGTGATGTGTGATGTAAGTTTTCTTGTATGACAGAAAAAAAGCAATAATGTGACACTTGCTATTTAGGTAAACACACACATTTAGTTCCAGGGGCCATATAGAATATTAGATCTATGAATGATTTATGTGTAATTATTTATTTTATACTAATTCATAGTTAAAAATACATGTATTTTAAAAACACATGACAACTTAAAGATCTCTTACACATTTTCTACTCGAGCACGCTGATAATCAGAAAGTATGGCACCTACTGATACTCCTTCTATGTCTTCTTTTTCCTAGAAACAAAGGAAAGATATGCAACTTTAAAAATAAACACAAGGTTTATGCTTTCATCATCCTATGAAAATTACAAATACACTATGTCTCATCTAGGAAACTGTGAAACATGCTAATTTACTGAAAATTCAATTCATATTCAGAAACAAATAATTATACGTATTTAAATCATCCTCTTAACTACAGAAAAAAATTATTCATTTACTTAAAATTTGAATAACCAGAGACCCCCTTCGGAAGACTAAGGCAGTACTTCCAAAATGTTTTCACACTTAACATATTTTTAAAAACTCACTGATGTTCGATGGAAACTTTTGTGAAATTTCTATTTAAAGAAAATATTTTCCCAGATTGAGTAACTTCTTTTTTTAAATTATGCAATGGCATAAATAGATGAGGGAGCGTAATGATTTCATTTCTGCATCTTAGAAAAAGATGACTGATATGGAACCATCCAGAAAGTAAAGATGTTAGAGGTATTGTCCAGGTAACAATACAGCACAGTAGATAAAGCATTCTATCACAATAAGGAAATGATGAACTATTATTAATGTAGTTTCAAAGGACATTTAGCAATATATTCAGCAGTCCCACAGGGACAAGGACTAGCCTCACCAGCATACACATTAATGATCTAGAAGAGAATATAAACTCAAATATGATCAAGTTGAAACATGCTACAAAGTTAATATGGATTAAAAAGGATAGAAAAAATTAGACAGATACCCAGCAAACAGATTGAACTCAAAAATAGGTGAAATAAAATAAACTCAGTTTTCCTTTAAAACATATATTTAGCATCTCTTTCAGCTACTATTTACTTAGAATCATATATGTTGCTTCTCTCTGGTTGGTTCCCAACTCCTTTTAGTATGTGTATAACATTGTTTTTCAAAAAATTATTATTATTTGGCTTCTTTCCTTCCTTCTGGATTCTCCCATACCAGACTCCTTCTAATTCTCTACTTTGGGTTTAGATTTATTTTGTTTTATTTGAAAGACTAATTGACAGAGAGAGACTCACAGAGAGAATCTTCCATCCCCTTGTTTACTCTCCAAAAGGCCACAGCAGTTAGAATTCAGCCAATACAAAGCCAGGAGGGGCAAGAGCTTCTTCTGGGTCTCCCACATGGGTTTGGGGGTTCAAAGGACTTGAGGCATTCTCCACTGTTTTCCCCATCCAGGAGGGAGCTGGTCTGGAAATGGAGCACCAGCTACTATGGGATGCTGGCACTGCAGGTAGTAGCTTAGCTTGTTGAACCACCACATCAGTCCCATTACTCCAGACCCCTAGTCTATTGTTGCCACTATAACTAAGCTTATTTTTCCACATAAAAAAATATAATGATATTTCACTTCTTAAAATCCTAAAGTGATACAAGAGAAATGAAAACATATTCACACTACGATACAGGGAGTTTCACAGCACTTTTGTTTCCAAGAACTCCAAACTTGAAACAGTCCAAGTATCTACCATCTCACTAGAAGTTAGGATGTGAACATATATATATAGTGGGAATAAAATTCAGTTCATAGCACTATCTAAAGTAAAACTTTAAGCTACACTGAGAACAACTGTAGGACCCAAGAGTACAGTATTCTTTTCTTCCTACGTAGGATACATTCCAAGACCAAAAGCAAAAGTCTGAAATCTACATAGAGCTCTTCTTATACATACATATGTATGATAAAGTTTAATTTATAAGCTAGGCAGAATAAGATACTGACAATAATAACAGTAAAATAATTATAATATACTGTTACTTAAAACTTATAGACTGCTTACTTTTGCATCTTCTTACTCAAAATTTTTGGACCACAGTTGACTACAACTGAAACCACAGAAAGCTAAACTGCAGAGAAGAGGGATGGTTGTGAACAGGAGTTTGTGGGTTCTGTAACCACACACTTGAAGTCACAACAGCAAAGAAGCAAAACAAAGATCCAGCAGGACATAGGGTGAAAAGAGGGTTAAGTTTAAGATCGTGAAGATAGAGCAACATGGAAGAGAGGAAGAAGAACCAGTGGAGATATGACAAGAGACCTGAAACTGTGATAGGAGACATAATCAGGATAAAATAATAATAATGAAAAATGCAGAGAAAATTCCTATGAAAATGATCTCCAATCCACTGGTTCACTCCCCAAGTGGCTTCAATGGCTGAAGCTGAGCTGAGCTGATTCGAAGCTAGGAGCCTGGAGCTTTTTCCAGGTCTCCCACACAGATGCAGGGTCCGAAGGCTTTGAATTGTCCGCTACGGCTTTCCTAGGGCACAAGCAGGCAACTGGAAGGAAGTGGAGCAGCCGAGACATGAACCAACACTTGTATGGGATTCTGGCTTGTACAAGGCAACGACTTTTGCCACTAGGCCACTGCGCCAGACCCAGAAAATAAAATTTTTAAAGATCTAAGTAACAGTGGCCAATGCAATGTCTCAACGTGCTAATCTTCCACCTTTAAGTGCCAACATCCCATCTGGGTACCAGTTCATTTCCTGGCTTCTCAGTTTCCCTGCTTATGACCTGGGAAAGCAGCGAAGGGTGACCCAGGTCCTTGATCTCCTGCACATAAATGGGAGTCACAGAGGAGACTCCTGGCTCCTGGATTTGGATCAGCTCAGTTCTGGCTTTTGCAGCCATTTGGGGGAGCTTGAACCAATGGATGGAAGGTATTTGTCTTTGCTTCTCTCCGTAAATCTCCCTTTCAAGTAAAAATAAACACATCTTAAAAATAAAGACAAAAACCTGTCAGTAGCAAAATCATGCAAAAACTTGTTACCTTTATGCAAATAAAAGTTTTAATTAAAAAATGTCAGTAGTAATGAAGTTAGTTTGGAAACAAAGACTGGACTCAAAATAGCCTGGTACCTTGCTAAATCACAGTTCTCAAGCACAAGTGAAAGCTATCCGGTTCATGTCACTGCCACTATAAATAATGTATGTTAAAATTCAACTCAAAAAATATAGTCAACAATCGCATCCCTGAGTGTTAGAAACAGTAGAACATGTCATTCAATAATCATAATACCTCTTTTTAATGATGTTCCCAGGTAAACTATTATCGTTTTCTTTATTTTGAAAATAAGGTATATTCAGAGAGTCTTATACAGTCAGATATGGTCAGATTAGGATATAGATCCTGTGCTACATCATCTTTCTCTCCCAGCTTTTGTCAACGTGAGAACAGGATTACTGAGAATACAGGCAGCTACCTGATCGAAACTGACAATCATACCAATGGAGATGACATTTCCAAAAGCAAACACATGCAAACTGACAAAAACATAGCTTTATTATTATTAATATTTGCACACATTCCTGTGGGCAAAAAACGATCATTATACCAAGCATCTATTTAGAAAGTCCTAACAAACAAAACAATGTGAAGAACTCAAGGGCTGAATACAGATGATCAACTGATTCTCAGAATGTATCTTTGTTTATGGGGAAAAGAAGACCAATAATCTCTAAGCACCTATACTGATGCATAGGCAACAACAGCTGGTATTTTGCAAAACCAAGAGGGTATGTGTACATATATACAAAAACCATAAATGTATTAACAGTCCAGACTTTGGTCTTTTAATATAAAATGAAAGTTGTTAGTGGTGGTAGATTTTGTTGTTGCTAATAAGACAATAAGAAGGTATGACATTACTAACAAGCAAGACCAGGTCAATTTCTACTTTTTATCTTATACACACTTACAATTCTTGAAAAGTTTTACGCAAGATACTTTTTTTTTTAATGAATTTTCTATTACATATCAAAAATCAGAATAATGTTATTCAAAGAACTACTCAGCATTTGATTCTGAGCATTTGAACATTCTAAGTAAAACACAGCATTAGTTTAACAGACTTAAAACAAAGCTCTTGTTTCAAGCATATATACCCATCACATAACAGAAATCTTCCCATACTTTCCCTCATCTCAGGAATGGCACTATGTATGTATTTAGCTATACAAATATATGTTTTATATATTTATTACACATAACTATCAAAAATTAATAATTATTATGCAAACATGTTTACATATAAACAAAACATTTGTATTACATAAAATTATTCTAAATACATTATACTTACATTGTTAAATTGTATAAGTATTTAATTATGTTACATAAAATTTTATGTAAAAATATTAGTATTCAGGCAAAAAACCTTAGAGTTGTCCATAATTTTGCTCTTCCTATGACATATCCAACCGCAGTACCCTTGTTCTCAACTCCTGAAAATATCCAGAATCCAACCACTGCTCATTCTCTTCATCATTACCACTCTAGTTCTTACAACCATCACCTCTCACTCTGACTGCTACAAGAGTTTAAGTGGCCGCCCTAAACCCACTATTTCTTGCTAAATTTAGCTTCACAAATTAACCAGAGTGATGTGTCAAAATATAAACCTGATCCATGTAGGGTCCCCCATTTACAATCCTTAGGTGCTTTCCCATCCTATTTGAGGGGAAATCAAGCTCCAAATATATATAAAAGCAGTTACGGCCTAGCAGCCAAGCTCACTGATATCAACATCTTTGAGTGCTTTCCTAATTCACTCACAATCACAGAGGCTTCTCTCACTTTTCTTCCTAAAATAATCCTTCAATCACCTGTTGTAGCTGTATTTATTTCAGCAAAATTACAATATATACCTTTCCGTTTAATTTTTTTTAATGCATGCTTCAAAATGTAAATGGAAGAAAAGCTGGAAAATTCTACCATTCCAAATATGAATAAAGAGTGGTATATTTAAAATAGAATATAGCAAAGCATTCGTTCAAAACTATATTTTCAGGTCCAATGTGGTAGCCTAGTGACTAAAGTCTTCACCTTGAACATACCGGGATCCCATATGGGCACCAGTTCTAATCCTGGCAGACCCACTTCCCATCCTGCTCCCTGCTTGTGGCCTGGGAAAGCAGTCAAGGACGGCCAAGAGCCTTGGGACCCTGCACTCACGTGGGAGACCCAGAAGAAGCTCCTGGCTCCTAGCTC